CTCTGGGTCGTCTCATCTATACTGAGACCCCAACTGCTCATGTCTTAGAATGACTAGAGCAATATCTGATGAATGCAAATTTCAAGAAGTATGTAATAATTTAGAGATCTCTAAAAATATGTTCCATCAGACTTTTTCCTCCTGTTTTCAAAGATCTACAAAGAGTGAAAAGTGATAATAATCTAAAGTTTACAGAGTTCTAGAAAACCACATATGTCATTGGTTGTTATAGGTAGAATTCCTCTTACTCCGGAAATCTTGTACATCATCCATCAATCACATATTCTCACTTAGTAATCTTCTGCTGAGACCTGGAGAGTCTCAGTGGGTCCTTTATTATTGCAATTAAATGATTTATCATGAAACTAGTGCCCCAAAACATTTGAATTCAGATAAAAATGCTCACTTCAAGGAACATAAACTATGTTAACAAGAAGAGCATTTAATTAGCCATCACTTAAAATAACTACTTTGCAAAATACCATAAATAAATGTATTGGCTCTTTTCTCTTAGAACTCTGGATATGTAATAAAACTTTTAATTTATAGAAATTAATCTAACTTGAAATATCAATTAACTATCTTCTTTTGTTTCCCACTTGTGTATAAAATATGTGAGAAAAGATTGTATGGTAGCTTTAATTTTAAAAATGGTTGAAGATGTGTCAGATATATAAAGATTCATATCAATCTCTTAAACTATTTATAATCCAATTTTTGTTTTTATAATATTATGAAGAATTTATGTTTAAAATAATGTCTCCAAGATTAGGTAGAGATAAATAGGTAAATTAATTCAGGTAAATAAATTCAGTTCTCTCATAGATCTTATATTAGGTTCTAGGAATATAAAATGGGTAAGATTTTGTCTTATTCATGGGGAAAAATCCCAAAATGTCATTCTGAGAAATACGAGAAGGAAACATCTAGGCAACCTGAGCTTTTGCTTGATGATAGATAAATGTTCCATCACTATACGAAAGAATAGTTCTCCCTCCTGCTTCTCCTAGTACCAATATCATTATGAAATGATTACATAAATTTTTAGAGAAAGGAAATATAAAGTCAGGGTACAGTGGGGAAACAGAATATTAAAGAAAAGAAACTGCATATGGAACAATTATCCAGAATTTCTGCTAGCTAAAACTATCTAGTTAAGATTTTCATTCGTTCATTCATTCATTCATAGGTGTGTGTAGGTGTGTTTGACATTGTAGTTTATTTATACCTATACTGAAAACATGGATATTGCTATTTTTAAACACCCTGTCTTTGAAAATGTAGTAAATTCACTGTTCTGTGCTCATTGTATAGTCTTCTGGAATGTTGAACATTCTACTACATGAAAGTATAGTTATAGGTGACTTAATTTTATTTCTATGCTGGCATATACATTGGGAGCACTGACACTAGGTAGTTATTTTAATGAATTTGTTTTGCAGGTCTTCATCTTAATTTTAGGTGAGGGTAATTTTTCCCTCTCTTTTGATAGCAGTTAGATTACTATGAATTTTGAGGAATAAAGTAAACTCAATGGAAGGAAAATCTTTTCTATGAGCAGATGGCTTTTGATATATCAAGGTTTTGCCATTTGTTTTAGTGCTTAAAATAAGCATTATTTATAAGACCACTTACATTTTGATGTTACTTAATGAGGAATATGCATCATTGATTTGACTAGCTTAAGAGGTCATTTAGAACTTGCCCGTTAACAAGCTGTAATCTGCTGAGCACACAATGACTTTGTTTAAAATTATCTATTCAAAGCTGATCAATGACAATAATTGTTTTATACCAGTCTCTTCTGAAAGTTGCTAATTACTTTGAAGGACATGAATACTAGTCTTTTTTTTGGGGGGGGGTGTTATAACCCATTCACCTTGAAATTCAAAAGAAATGCTATTATTATCAAAAGCCAACTAGCCTCTTAAAAACACTTTTTTTTCCCCCCTATGTGAAAGTTTCATCACTAGTTCTGGGATATCAACAGGAAGTTTAGGCAAAATTTAAGATGTCATTTGTTCTTATAACAGGAAGTTGAGCAGATCTCAGCTATTGTATCTTATATTAATTAGTTATTAAACAGGGATCCTGATAATGTAAGAAAATATTATCTTTTAAAGTATAGAGCACTCCACACACTCTTTCTCTTTATACAATATATTCATGAGATGACTTAGTGGAAAGAGCTGTGGCTCAGAAGAATCAGGTTTGCATACTACTCTGCCATTTACTCTTTTACTGGTTATATGACCTTTATCAAGTTAGTAAACTTTAGTTACTTCATTTTTAACATGGAGATCATGCCCTATTCACAAAGTTATTTTAAGAATAAAAGCATAAGCTTGGTATATTCATGGAGCTCAATAACGTTTAGGTTCTTCACTGGATAATTGCCTTCACCCATCCCAATGCCAGGTTTCTTCTAGTTTTTTTTTTTATTATTATTATTTTTAAACTCAGAAAACAAGATTAATCATTCTTTAAAAGGTGTAAGCTTAAATTTGTTACCTTAATTTATTACCTTGACCATCACTTATTTATTATTCCTTTACATGCCCAATTGTGAACAGAAGGATTTATGTTGGAAAGGAATGTAAGCTTGTCTTTGAGGAGGATGTCTAGGGTGCTAGTGTATTAGGAGATTCCCTGAGAACATCAACACAGATTCCCTGAGCCCTGAGTTGTGTGCTGCTGTTTCTAGTTGTTTCTCAGTTTGGCATAAGAAGGGACCATACCTTTGCCTTCTTTTACTCTCTTCCTATTAGCACAGATTTTCCAGCCAATTTCAGTTTTGTTTTTTTTAAAGATTTATTTATTTTATACAAACACTGGGATACAGGCCAAAGGCGGGAGGGTGAGAGAATCCACCAGAGACAGAGCAGGAAGCAAAACAGGCAGAAGGACCGAAACACACTGCGGAGGGGAGCAGCGGGCGAGACAGGAGAGGTCTGTCGTGCCATGTGGGAATCTCCCCTGCCGGGCAGGAATCAAACTCGTGTGCCACAGAGGCTGTGGACAGCTTCACAGAGCTGCGCTCAACCTGCTGTGCCACCAGGGAGGCCCCCCAATTTCAGTTTTTATCCTTTCTAACTTCTGTACTCAAAATGGGCATGCCCTCTATTCTGGCAGTACCTACTGATAGTTACCTCTCTCCTCTTTCTCCTTCAGTACAACATCATTTTTTTATGTTTTCGGGCAGATTTAATCTTGCTTTATTTAATAATGTTTCTGTGTAATAGGTAGTACCTTCTTTAACACTATCTGATATCCTAGTATTTCCCCCGTGTTTCCCTGAGTCACTTTTATCTCTGGTATGATGGGATTTCTGTCAGTACTTTTGTTTACAAGTGTTCTCTGCTTTAAGACAATTATTATTGTACTTGCAATAAAAGTATGATGTTGAACTATTTGAAGCCATTCAACCAACAATATGACCTTAGGCAATTATTTAATCTTCCTATCAATGTCTTCTCTGTCCAGTGAGGCTAATATTAATCCCTACCTCAGAATGGTGCTGTAATGATTAAATTAGATAAGCCAGGAAATATTCATTCATATGCATGATTTATTTATGTATACATATTTCAATTGATTATTTTTTTCATTACGAAAGTGGTTTGTATCAATTCCTCCTCTTTCTTTGTCAGCAATAATATGATATTGGTCAAATTAAAAGGAGATAGCTTCTAAATAGAGTCTATACATTTAGAAAAATTAATTTATTTTTAATTTGAAGAATCTCTAAAATAAGATCATTTGAAAAATAAATTTGAAGACATATTCTATGGCTTTGTTCCATTAATTTGCTATTTATTGTGCTTAGTTTTACTTGCTAGACTTGTTACCTCTGATGTAATTATTCTTTTAAGCCATTTCACATCTCTTCAATTATTTTGGTCATTCTTTTACTAGGAGGGTAACTAGAACACTCCTCAAAATCTTTTTTTAATCCAATTTTATTGATTTGTCATTCATTTACAAAGCTACATACTTATAGTAGTGCCAGTTCACACCTCAACACATGTACATGATTCACACCCCTCCATCAATGGCCCAGTGCTAATACCCTTATCACCTTACCCCACCTCTTCACAACAAAAATAACTCTAAACTCTGTGAAAACTATAGTGGTATTGGTGTGGGGGTGAAGGGTGAAGAGTTCGATTCCCTGGCTGGCCAGGGAGGTGACCCACATGGCGCAGCAGACATCTCCTGTCTCACCCACTGCTCCCCTCAGCAGTATATTTCAATACATATGCCTTTTCTGCTCCCTGCTAAGTCTCTGGTGAACCCTCTCACCCTGCACCCCCTCACATCTCTGGCCTACACCCCAGCTCTTGTATACATAAATAAATAAATCTTTAAAAAAAAAGTCTAAATGCATGATACAAGCAAAATCCTGGAGGATAGTGCCTTTAACAAAGTAAGAACTCTGAAAATGTTAGCTATTATTGTTTTTATTGAGGAAATATTAAAATGTTATGTTTCAGATATAAGTCAACATGATGTTTAAAGATTTTGAATACGGATGAATTGAAAAAGTCTACTTAAAAATGTTATTTCAGTGACACTAAACACAATCTTCAAGGTTACGAAAAATAAAAAATCCATATGGTTAGGAAGGAAGTGGAAGTGGGGGGAATTGGTAAGGCAAATGTTTAATCTTTCAATTGTTAATTTGTCAAATTAACTGCACCTACAAGAGTGTAGTCAAATCTAGTATTTGTGAAAGAATTATAATTGTTTGTTTGTTTTTTGGAAACAATTATCATTATTTTAACATAATTTATAATAGCCTATAAGTAATTTTTATCTTTATAATAGTTTATAATAAATGAGTACAACCTATATTGGCAACTATGTACTGTGATGTTAGTGGAAAGTGTAAGACTTTATTTGATATGTTATCATCCATCATTACCTTGATTTTGAAGAACTATTCATGTTTTCACTAAAAATATTTACTGTGTATTTTATCTTTGAATTTGCTTCCATAGATTCAGAGACATTGGCGAGGTTATAGGATTCGGAAATACTGCTTTAATTATTACTATTTGAAAGAGTACCTGAGAGCTGTTTCAGAGACCAATGATGCAATTAGGTGAGTAATATAATCACAGTCTCCTGGTAAAGATTTTAGAAAGAATGCTCAATAGATGTTTATCATTACCATACTGGAGAGTGCCTTCTCAAACTCAGTGAAACTAAACAAGGATCAGAGGGTGACAAACTGTAAGACTGACCCTTGAAAGCAGACTGTAGATCTGAGACTCTCCGGGGAGGGGGTGGAGAGTAGAGAACTAGAGAAGGGGGAGGGTGAGAGGGCATGAGGGGTGGCGGTGGGGAGAGAGCTGATGGTGGGTGACTGTGGGCACTTTAGTGGTGGGAAAACTATGGGGACTGCACCTGAGCGGAGAAATCCTATATTGTGAAAAAATAAACAAGTTTTTTTTTTAAAAGAGAAATTAAATAAATTAAAAATAAAACTCAGTGATACTTTAGGCAGAAATTTATTGCTAAGGTGTGTAGATACAGTTTACTGTATCTGTATCTGTTTACTTTGACATTTTGTCTATTTTTGAATGTCTTATACTCTTCACTATAAATCATATTGTTTATGTGTATAATGGTTATAATTTATATATTAATTTATGTATAATTTGTGATGTATAATAATAATTTATGTTACAATATCTTGGTCTTATGCAAAATAGTTGAATTTCAGGAAACATCTCATTTTTGTCTGTGAAAGGATCCCATAGATGAAGCCTTCAGTATGATGAAGTTCATATGTATTTTAAGAAAGATGTTCAGTAGCAAGAACTTTCCTCTCAAAGAGCAAAATACCATGGAACATATTACAATGGGCTGCTCTATGGTCAGTTTTTATGGTTTTGCACCCACAAAAAGGTAGCATCTGCATCTAGGCCATCTATTTGCCTCTCTTATTCCCTCTTTGGAATTCATTTTTCAATCTCCAGTACTTAGTTTTTTCTTGTAGTAATTTGAACATTAAACAAATTTATTTCTAGGTTTTCTGTGTTATGTTTGGTACAATTATTACTTCAGGGAATTTATTGAGATTTTCACCTTATGTATGTATAATTTTGTTTTAGATGTTCTCTAAAGGTAGATAAATAGATTTCTTTTTCCATTCTAGCTATGTTTTTGCATTTTAATTGAGCAACCAAATGTTTGCCTTCATCATCTTAACTGTTGCAATGTCTCTCACCTTGCTTTATGTTCCTACATTTTATGATTCCTTTCATAAATATTAGGATTTGTTTGTTTATGTGAACCTTTTTTTTTTTTTAATCTTTAAATGTGTTTGATTAAGTATTTACTTAACAGCCACTGTGGGCCAGTCATTATGCAAGTTGTTGAGGATACAGTGGTGAATGTGACTAACCCAGGTAGACTTCATGAAACTTCCAGAGAAGTGGGGAGAAAAGTACCAGAAACAGAAGAGATCTGGCATCAATTTACCTATATTCCATTATTTTACAGCAATAAACTGGATCCATCCCACTTTCCTAGGGAGGAGGTGATACAGGGGGTTTCAATACCAGAGGGGAGATGGCTGGAGGGTATATTCAGGAAGACCTTCCATACTCAGTCTTACATATACCCCTTGTTCAATACGTGCTTTGATTTTTAGCTCTGTGCCTAGGACAAGAGATACTTTATTTTCATAGGACAATAGTTTATTAAATTGTCCTATTATTAAAGTATTTCAAACTTTAATACTATAATTCAAACTTTAGTTTTGTCTTGAAGCATTTTGATAGTTACTTATGCCAGCAAGTATTAAAATATATACTTTCTGGATTTCAACAACAATGTGAGACATGTAGAGTATGCCTCTGTTTTGGGGGCAGGGCAAAATCATAGAAAAAAATTGGTAAAACCAATTTTATATTAGAATATGTTTCACATATTCTATTGAATTATATAGGATAATAATTCAATAATTCTATTGAATTATATAGGATACCAGATAACATTGGGCTTAACATTAGTTGATGTGCTCTTTTATTGATAGGATTTATTTTACAGTGTATGGTAAAAATAAAATATGTGTACATATGCAAGAGTATCTTTTCATAACCAAGAGTGAACCTTTTACAAAGAAAAATGGAATTGATTAATTTAGGGCTGAGTTTGCTCTTGGTAGACATCTTCCTATGTAACATCTAGCCTGATATGCAAAATCTGCCCCAGGTTACGAATAAGAAAATTATATAATGAAATAAAAAATTAGCTCCAGAGTCACAGATTGGTAGCATTAATAAAACATTATTAGCCTGGAATGCAGAAAACTGACTTTTTTTTGACAGAAATTCAAGTTAAAAGTAATATATTCCCCCAATCTTAAGGCTTCAGTTCAGTTGTTGGTTGTTAATATCTCATAACAATAGCTCTGACTTGAATATAAATTTGTCATTCATCAAAGAGAATTAGTTTTTCAGCATTTTGACTTTGGACAGCACAGTTTGGCTAGATGGATTATTATGGATATTCTTCTTTATTTCTTTTTCATGCATCATGAAAGTTTTTTAAAGGATATACTTGTTTTGTTTTTATTACAGTAGCTTTATTTATATATAATTTGCATACCCTACAATTCATCCATTCGAATTGTACTATTTTCGTGTATTCACAAAGTTGTGCATCCATCAAAAGGATTATTTTAAAACATTTTCGTTATCCTAAAAAATAATCATATATCCTTCAGCAGTCCCTCTTCATTCTCCCTTCCCTGCTCAACCACTAACCTGCTGTGGATTTTTTCTATACTGGACTTTCCATGTAAGTGGAATCTTGCAGTGTGTGGTCTGTTTTGTCAGATGCTTTTTGCTTAACCAGATTCACACATGTTGTAGCATATATTAGTACCCTACTGATTCTTTTTCTTTCCAATTAATATTCAGTTCTATTGGCAAACTACATATTATTGATCCATCTGTCTCCTGATGCTCTGGAGCCAGCCCTCCTTGGCCTCTCCATTCTCCTACTCTTAAACAGACAACATTTTCTCTAACTATGATGCAGTTTTCTTCTTAAGAAAACATTTCATAACTTTCTTTCTCTGGGATGGACCCACTATTTTATGAATGTGTGTTAACCTGTTTGTGATTTATTTCCTTGTTTTTCTGGAACGGCTGCTATCACACTATTTTAATGTATATGGAAGGCAATATTGGGGTCTTTGCTGGTTTTAAATGTCTTATTCTACCCTCAAACTTGATTGGTAGTTTGGCAAGGTATAGCATTCTAGCTTATAAATCATATTCCCCTTGAATTTTTAAGGCACTGCTCCACTGTTTTCTGACATTCAAATGCTGACTTCTCACTGTGGTGTTTCACCTGCCTTAGAAAGTGATCTATTTTTAGAACAATTATTGATGAAATTCATATGGAATCACCAAAAACCCCGAATAGCCAAAGCTCTCCTGGAAAAAAAAGAAGGGAATGGAGGCATCACACTCCCAGACTTCAAACTATACTACAAAGACATAATCATCAAAACTGCATGGTATTGGAACAAGAACAGACACACAGACCAACGGAATCAAATACAAAATCCAGAAATAAACCCACAAATTTATGGTCAACTAATCTTTGACAAAGGAGCAAAGAATATGCATTGGAGCAAAGAAAGTTTGTTCAATAAATGGTGCTGGGAAAACTGGGCCGCTACATGCAAAAGAATGAAGCTTGACTACTACCTAACACCATGCACAAAAACCAACTCAAAATGGATTAAAGAACTAGACATAAGACCTGAAACCATAAAATACATAGAAGGAAATATAGGCAAAACATTACATGATATGCACATCAAAGACATCTTTACAGACACATCACCCAAAGCAGTGATAGTGAAGGCAAAGATAAACAGCTGGGACTACATCAAATTAAAGAGCTTCTGCACAGCAAAAGAGACAATAACAAAAACAAAGAGAAACCCCACCGACTGGGAGAACATTTTTGCACACAACACTAATGATAAAGGACTGATCACAAAAATCTACAAAGAGATGATGAGACTCAACAAAAACAAAGAAAATAATCCAGTCAAAAAATGGGCAGAAGAGCTAAAAAGAAACTTCTCTGAAGAGGAAATGCAAATGGCCAACAGGCATATGAAAAAATGTTCAACATCACTTGTAATCAGGGAAATGCAAATCAAAACTACCATGAGATACCATCTCACACCAGTGAGAATGGCACATATTAAAAAAAAAACTAGCAAAAACAAATGTTGGCGAGGGTGTGGAGAAAAAGGAACTCTCCTGCACTGTTGGTGGGAGTGCAAACTGGTCCAACCACTATGGAGAGCTGTGTGGAGATTTCTGGACCTACTAAACATAGCTTCCATATGATCCAGCAATTCCACTCCTAGGTATTTACCCAAAGGACACAGAAACATCAATTCCAAAGAGCTCCTATACGCCTATGTTTATAGCAGCACTATTTACAATAGCTAAGCTTTGGAAACAACCCAAATGCCCAAAAATAGATGACTGGATCAAAAAGATGTGGTACATATACACCATGGAATATTACTCAGCATTCAAAAAAAATAAACACATGCAATTTACAGCAACATGGATGGAGCTGGAAGGGATCATGCTCAGAGAAATAAGCCAGAAAGAAAAAGAAAAATACCAGATGGTCTCACTCATAGCAGGAATCTAGAAAACTTAAATAAGGGACCAGGAAAAAGAATAACTATAAGAAAGAAAATATCAAGGAGGGGAAAGGAGAGATTGGGTCAAAATAAGGAGGTTGTAATTATATGGGGAATATAAAAATAAAATTTAAATTAAAAAAAAGTGATCTTTTTTTTTTTTTTTTTACCTTTTTCAATGTGTGATAGTTGAAGTCTACCAAGAAACTGATGGTAAGATGGAATTGAATCTGAAAAAGTTTATTGACAAGAAGAATTGGAAGAAGGTGGGGGAAAGCCTTCATTCCACAATACAAGTCCAACTTATGAAGAATAAAAGGAAGAAGGAAGGAAGATTGGGAGGAGACTGGGATTGCAGTATATTTTTAGGCAAGGCTGATGGGTGGCTCTCAAGCCAAAGTTACCCT